ATGCAACCTCGATTCATCCACCTTGAAGACACAGTCTTGAATCTACACATGTATCAAGGCCTAGTGCACGCCAAATTCAAATAGTGAAAAAACCCATAACTAAACAAAACTCACAAATATTAATTTAACTTGGTAATCGGGCATTAAATTGGCTTAGCCGCGTTAATTTATGCTAATTTTGGGTCGCTGATCACGAAAATCTTATTATTTCTTAAATTTGGCCAATATTTAAGAAATGTTTGGAATGCGTATTTTTTAACCCCGCCAAGGCCAACATCAAAGAAGCCGCCTTATGCGCCGGATCAGCTAGAATCCTGTCCTGGTGCGGTATCTGTTTTGAAGCGAAAAAAAACTCGACTGTGCCTAGGCCTATCCCACGACAGGACTGTAATAGTGCGGTAGAGATTTAGATTCTTGCTTCGATTCTTGTAGTCTAGGCTAGGAATAAAAAAACAACAACAAAAAAAAACCCGAGACGGGAAGCATCGACCATGGGCGGACTCGAAGCTTAGAGTCCGTGAACAAGATCGATTCTTTGAGTCCTCATTTGGACTCGAAAGAATCGATCCCACAGTCGATCTTGCCCTGGCCTATTAATTATATCAAGAGAGAGAGGAGCAGGAGGAAGAAGATCGGGAGGAGGAGGAGGAGGAGAAGATATATTTATATATATATATATATATATATATATATATATATATATATATATATAGAGAGAGAGAGAGAGAGAGAGAGAGGGGGAGAGAGAGAGAGAGAGCAAGAGTAAAATATGTCAGTCTTTGATCTCTATGCCTTAAAATTATTTTGTAACCTCCTTGTCTCTATGCCTTCGTTCTTTACATCTTTCGCAATCATAGTTGGTGCTTTAGAATTCTATTGTCATGTTGACTTCCACACCTTGTCAACCTCTTGAATTCGATGTGCCGGCACTTTCAAACTCCCAAACATACTTTCAAACTCCTAAACGTATTTTTTGCTTCTTTAGTATCAAATGTAATTGACACTTCATTCACTAGATTCTAGATCAACTTGTGGCGAAAACAGCGCCGTTGGCCTAGGCCTAGGCCAATTAAGCTTCTCAACACAGCAGCAGAAAAAATGACGAGTCTCTTGGGCCAAATTGGGAACATTCGCCTTGCGCAGAAGAGCGGAACTCGCCCACCTTGAGTGTGTAAACAAAGCGGCAGGCCCAGGCTGCGGTCGGTGGTCCTCTTAAAAAAAAATCCGCGAGCTCAGGATTTGTGGGCTGGTATAAATTATCGTCTTTGACAGTTCGAGCCAATGAATAACGCGAACATCTGCCTCACGTGCATGTAAAGTAAATAAATAACTGAGCAGACCATCGGTTTCGAAACTTTGGGCTCTTCTCCAATTTCTATTTTCTGGATCGTACTGATCGTACTGTAGATTGTAGCCTGCGGTTACAATTTCACGATAAAGTTGCAGCTGTGTTACATCACTGCCAAGAGCAGACCATTGAATCAGGAGTGGGGTAAGTAAAATATCATCTATTTTTAAATTTCTTATCGTGGTCAGCAGAGAAAAAGTCGTTTGCGGATAGATCTTCTAGACTACATGCTAAATCTAGCTAGTCTAGATGCACCAATCTAGATACTAAGATCTAGATCTAGATCTATAATCTATATCTAGAAAAATCTAGATTCTAAATCTAGAATCTAGATCTAGATCTAGATGTAGTCTAGATTAAGATCTCTAGATCTAGAAATCTAAATCTAGATCTAGATTAATAGATCAAGAGCTTGACAAAATAGTACCAAAAAAACGCCATGTTCATTACTATTAATTTATTAAACGTTGCGTGTTTATTATTTTCTTTCCGCGGCTCTTCTTGTCAAGAGCTGGTGTCTTTTTTTGTTTGTTCATTATAAACCCAACAGTGATAATTCAGTTTCGTTGATTTACATTTTGTCATATCAATAAGATGTTATACAAAGTGACATTGAGCGATTGCAGTTTCTTGGTGTGTGTTGAACGACCTTTACTATAAGCGGATTAACCGGCTTTGTCTGGTCCCGAGCATGAGTGAGTGTTTACTTGAACTAGATCTAGAATCTAGGTCATATCACACCTCCAGGTCATAAACCCCGAAACGGCATTCGATTGGTTAAAACGGGCACACCCCCAGTTTCCCGACCTTGAGTTGTTCCGTTTTGGCGAATGCGGCGTGTGTGTTTGTGCTGTACCGAGGCACAGTTTGGTGTTGGAGTTCAGAACAAGCAACACAAGCCGCCTATAAATACAGAGGTACATTCACTTAAAATTCTCGACTTTGTTTGCACCTTCTAACCTATAGTAGACCTATCTTTTGTTTTTCTTTCGTTCCGTCCGGGATTGATTTCATTCATCTGTAGTTTAATTGCACTTTGCTCTCCCGAATAGATCTCTATAATAAAAGAGATCGTTTTACGTTCCAATACATTGTACTCCGCACGTAGCCTTTCTAAAATCGATTGGCTATTCTGGTGAGGAACATTGAGCCAAGACAAAGCGTCCTGTTGAAATTGTAAAGGTTGACGCAGTTAATTTTTTTGTTTTGTCTGCTTGTGTATAAGATGGTGAAAATGAAGTTTAACTATGTTCAGGTAAGCACATAAAAACACTTCAATTTTGTCCATAGAAGGTTGGTTTTACGGCTTCTTCTTGGAAGTTGAATTTCTGAAATGCTGTAATTTATTTTAATACTTTGATTTGGGTGTGTTCGGTATCATTAACTCTTCGTTTTCCTGCTGTAACCTACTTTTTAATAAGTATAAGGCCTAGATAGGTTTAAAAAAATGTATTAGCCAATTATTTTGGCTTTTATGCCTTGTTTTCCTTTCATTCCTAGTATTTGAACTTGCAATGCATAATGCTGGTGTATTACATTTACTCCTGAATTATTTATTTAGTAATAGATGGTTTTCATATATAGGCTATATAAATAAATAAATTATATATATATATATATATATATATATATATATATATATATATATATATATATATATATATTACATCAATCAAGATGTGTAGCCTACTTGCAACTATGCTTGTTATAAAACAAGCAAAAGGCTTATCAACACGGAAGGCCTACATGTTTTCTTTGAATTGAAATTGTATTTTTCTTCATCAGATGGAGATGAATGGTGAAACAGATCATCGCATGAATGGCAATCACTCTGCGTTTGGTCTCAAAGGTTCAACTGATACAGATACCAACCAGAGTTCCTATGAGATGTTGGAAGACAGTGATGAGGAAGAAATGGTTCTTACTAACGAGCTGATTCTTGACCCGTTTTGTGATCCTGATAATCCTAAGACCATCAGTTTCAATGATGTCAGCGCTGCAGCCTATAAGATCAAAGGAGGGGTCGAGAAGACACCTTGCAATGTAAGTGGCTATAATTGTAATGCATTTTTCGTCTGTTGCTTTTGATAATGCACAGTTTAAAAAAAAAAAAGATTTAGAAGGAGTTTTACGGCACTTGCAACACAATGGGTCTTGATATAAGTGCCAAAGATTAGAGGTGTTACAAGAGAGTAGCAAAATACAAAAGAGAAGGAGGGGAGATAAGGATGATAGTATAGATGTTTAATAGGAAAGATTGAGCAAACCACATCAGAGCACTCGCCGACCACCTAGAGTTTGCTTTGTGAGTTTGAACTACTATTGAGAAGTCTGTGGGTAGTTGGAAGGTGCTTTTGGGCTCTGATGTGGTATGCTCCTTCTTTCCAATCAAACATCTATCAACAAGTTGCACACGTTAAAGATCCCTTGGCTGTCCAAAATCGATGAGAGTAGGCTTCGGCTGCCACGCGGGCAAAATTCAAAATTTCCTACCATTTGAAAGTGTTTGGTGTGTCCCGCGCGCTCATATGACCTTACGCAGTTTCGAACGCCGTAAAACACTTACCAAAAAAAGCCCCAACAAAAAACCCCCCATCTATCATCCTAGTTATCTCTCCTCTTTCTGTTTTGTGTGTTACTCTCTTGCAGTACCTCAAATTTTTGGCACTTATATAATATGACCTTCTAACTGTGTTGCAAATGCTGTAAAACGATTACTAAATAAGTCTTGAACTGCGGGTTTGTGTCTCTTCACAGCCTGCTGCAACTGTTCTTGCAATTGCCACAGGCCTCAGGTACCAGTAATTATCCCTTCCGCCTTCAGCCTCAAGTGTTTGTGTGTCCATTTGTTCATCATTTCTCCATTTGAACGTCTGTCTGGTTGGTGGTGAGATACCGTGGGTGGTTGGCGGGTGCTCGGGTGTGGTTTGCTCCTTGATATTCCTATCAAACATCTATCGTCTTTATCTGAGATAAATCTCCCCTCCCTCTTTTTTCTGTTTGTTACTGTCTTGTAACACCTCTAATCTTCGGCACTTTATGACCTTATTGTGTTGCAAGTGCTGTAAAACTCTTACTAAAACTAAAGGTGGTGAGATAGCTTCCCCCATGCTGGATGCTGCTTTGGGGAAATGATCAGTGACTGCTAACGGCTATGAAGGCTCTGTGACTGTCCCCGGAGTTTTATGCACCCCGCATAATTTAACAAATTTTGATCCTTTTTTTCTTCATAATTTCTGATTATTTTTCCTTTATCATTCTTTGTTAAAATTAACAGAATTGCATAATTTCACTTTTTTGGGCTCAGTTTGCATAATTTCAGAATAAAAAACAAATAAAACCACGAGGACGATCTGTGATCCCAACTCATAGTGAGTGGTTAGTTCAAAAACAGGGTCTAGCTATCAAGGTGAAAGCAGTTTTTACTAGATGACAGTCCTAGCTCAGTATTGTACTTATCTGTAACCTGCCAGAATTGCTTGCTTGCTAAACTCTATTTGGGAATGATCCTGAGCTTTTTTGCCTCGTCATCACTTTTTTGTGGTAGTTGTACAATTCATTGTACCATTTCAAATGACAACTTTCTAAATTTGTGAGGCGTGCTGACAAAATGAGTTACTTTTCGCTATCCACAAATAGAGATATTGGCCAAAAAGAATCAAAACTAGGGTCAAATTTGTAGATTTTTTATCGATGCCTTATTCTTTAAGTGCAACACATATGCCTGTTATTATTTCATACTTATGCATTTCAAAAACTTATAAGAGTGATGTATCTATTTCCATTATAGGGCTCGAATCCAAGAAGTAACTCATTTTGTCAGCACGTTTCACATTTATTTGTTTGTTGATGTAGAATGATAAGTAGTGGATTCTGTTTCTGTCACTGTTTTGATTGAAAGCATGATTTCACTAATCCTTGCTCTGCCTGTTCATTCCTACTGCTTGAAAATCTCAGTTTCTGCAGATTTATTCTGTGGCCGTCTGCCAGATGTTCAAATTGCTATCATTCACATAATTTAATCAATACATATACCATGTGTATTCTTTGTGAACATATTTCCACTCTGTGCGTCGAGGTGAACAGGAGCCTTTTAATAAAGTATTGAAAGTAGTACAAAGAAATACAATAGTAAAAACAACTGAATCAGCTCTAAACAAATTCACCCTTAAAGCCAGGACATTTTGTTTTATCATCTAATTTGGCAATCACGTTCACATTTTTTGTTTTTTAATTTCTTTCTAGTTATCACAGATGTCCAAACAGTATGATATGAAGTTATACTTCAAGAAAGATTTCTTGCAATATACAGGGAGGTGAGTACATGTGTATATAAATTTTATTCTTTGTTTATAGTTTGGTCATCTTCTGTTTCTTCTCGGTCGCATCACACTTGAAGTCTGGCATCTATCATAAATTGGGCCGTCCTGCTCAGTTCAACTGTCGGCCCGTATAGCTTCTCTTGTAGCGTCAGTGGGGTTGGCCACATTTCCTGTCTCAGGGCCCTGTGTGTCTTGCAGTACTGAAGGATGTGTTCAACAGTCTGGTCCGCCTCTCCACCCTGGCATTTTGGTGATTGTGCTAGTTTAAAACATCTGTACATATGCTGTCTCAGTCTTGTGTGTTGGGTTCTTAGTCGGTGGTTTGGTCATGAATGCAAGAAATAGTTTGTTTTTTATTTACTATAATCTTTTAATGTTGATCTTGACTCTTTTAATGAAATCTGTTTGTGGTCTGAGATGTATGTCATTTACAGCTCCCATGTGACTTGGAGTTAGGATGATTACTTTTATTTTCATTTCTACATCGTTGCAGTTGGTGGGGCTGATGGTGATTTGAGGAGAGGGGGGGGGGTGGGGTTGGGGAGGGGAGGTGCCACTGGGTGGGTCTACTTCTTCGCAATCCTTCTTTTGCTTCTTTATGTATTTCTTGCTATCCTAGCACTGATGGATCATTGTTGTGTTGAAATGCATTTCATCTACTCAGGCTCAAATAAGAGAGATGGGTATCTTGAGAAGGAAGGCAGCTATTGTATCCCACTGTTGCAGCTACTTTTCAAAGAGCTGGGAGAATTTCTGTATTAAAAAATAACAAATAAAAGATCTTTTCTTACTGATTATAAGATAAGATAAGATAATACTTTATTTTCCCAGAGGGAAATTTTCTTGGCTGTACAGGACCTTAAAAACATATGCAGGTATACATAAAGAAAAGTTAAGTTATATATTACTCTCATTAAAATTCAATATGAAAAGAGAAGTGAAGCTGACAAAATGTATATTCACATCCGATGCATCATTCAATCACATGCAGGAATATAAATACAAGACCTTTGGAGTTATGAATGCCAGCTTGACATTGTGAAGGTGTTTTGATGAAGTCATGCTTCCTTTAGTATACTCTTGCTGATGGCGTTGCACATTTTTTGCTTAATATTTCTCTGTCTGCATGTCAACCTGTCTTTTTGTCTGTCATCATGTATCTCTCTTTCCGCTGCCCTATATTTATATTTGTCATCCGCTGGGTCGTCTCTGAGAGATGACAACAAATCTCCTACACTCATCCTCTCAGCTCGTGGGTGGTTGGCGGATGTTCTGGTGTGGTTTGCTTCTTTTTTCCTATCAAACGTCTGTCGTCTTTATCTCCCCTCCTTCTTTTTTGTGTGTTACTCTCTTGTAACACTTTTAATCTTCGGCACTTATAAGACCTTATTGTGTTGCAAGTGCCGTAAAACTTTTACTAAAACTAAAAAATCATCTCAACAGCTCTTATTCTTCTGTCAGTATTTGCTGTCAGGGTTCAGGACCCTCGTGCAATATAGGCCTATGGAACTATTATGACATGTATGGAACTACCAGTTCGTGTTTGTGTCTGCCTTTCCTTCTGCTCATCTATTCATTCATATTATTCTCTCATCTCACATCTCTCCTGCCTATCTGCTGCTGTTTTTTTCCCCCTTTCTATCGGTGTTGCATTTCCCCTGCACCAAATGACCCTTACTGCGTTGATAAGCTTCTGTTTGCGCAATGCAAATCTGTCAATTGACGTAAATCCTCCAGTTTATGTATGTGCCTATTTGCTTGCTTCCTGGTTTCGTCACAAGATTGATGTGTGCTTTGGTGTGTTCTAGCCTAACATTTCTACCTTTTAATGTTGCGATTGCCTTTTCATACTCGCTTGTTCTGTTAAATTATGTTTCATCCCAACAACTCGCTGTGAATATTCCAACCGCAACAACAACCACAACAAACATCTTCAAACACTCACAAACGTCAAACACCGTCACAATGGGTGGTTGGCAGGTGCTCTGGTGTGGTTTGCTTCTTCTTTCCTATCGAACATCTATCGTCCTTATCTCCCCTTCTTCTTTTTTATGCTTGTTACTCACTTGTAACACCTCTAATCTTGTGGCGCTCATATGACCTTATGCAGTTGCGAGCGCCGTAAACAGCACCCCAATCAACAAGAACACCGAAAATAACAATCTGCACCACCACCACCACCACAACCAACAACAAAAACAAAAACCGCAAAACACCGCCCCAATCAACACCAACACCAACAATAACTATCTGCACCACCACCACCACCACACCATCATCATCACCACCACCACCAACAACAACAACAACAACAAACACCCACCGCAAAATACCACCCGAGTCAACAACAACACCAACAATAACAATCTGCACCACCACCATCACTGCACCATCATCATCATCACCACCACCACCAACAATAACAAACACCATAAAACACCACCCCAGTCAACAACAACACCCACAATAACAATCTGCACCACCCCCCCCCTCCTCCCTGCCCCCACATGTTCATTGTTAACGAGCTCCCCTTTACATCGCAGTCAATGACGATGCCGAACCACGATATTAATAAATATGCGCATATTATTGAAGATAAGAAACTCGGGCGAAAAAACAGGATGTTCATAATAACTCGGCCGCCTTACCGACTTTACTTGGCAGCTGTTACATACGCAGATCTTCTCCCAACATCGTTTCTCGTTTCTAATTATATTCAGGATTTATGTGTATGTGTGTGTGTGTGTGTGTGTGTGTGTGTGCGCGCGCGTGTGTGTGTGTATGAGAGAGAGTGTGTTTGTGTGTGTGTGTGTGTGTGTGTGTGTGTGTGTGTGTGTGTGTGTGTGTGTGTGTGTGTGTGTGTGTGTGTGTGTGTTTGTGTTGAGAAAGTGGGTTGTTATGCAGAACGGTGTTTAAAATCTCTCACCTTGAGGGATAAAAATATTGACTTGTAGTTTGTGGTTGAGAAACTGGGGTATTGTTAAAAATTCTTTGTGATTGATTGATTTGTTGTGTTTTTAAAGATACGTTTTGATATCGAGGGGGAAAGTTTGTTGACCCTAGTTTTGTTTTACTTGAGGGTTGGGGAATATGGAGAGATTTTTGTTTTTTGCTCTCATTTTGGCCTTGAGGATAAAACATAAATAAAAAGTGGGATACTGGATGGGTGTTTGGTAGGGGGGCGTTGACCAAGTTGGCCCAAAACAGACAGAGCTGGAGATCCTTTGTTGCTGCCCTAAACGCCAGATGGCGTAACGGGTAGTAAGTAAGTTTGGTAGGCTCCAGTGGAATGACAGTAAAAGTAACGTTAATGACAACAATAAAGGCAGAAAGAAGATAGAGGGACAAAATAACAGTGTTAAAGGGTTTATACATCTTTTATTTCTTTTTGAGTTCGTTTGTCTCTTATTCTGTCCTTCTACCCATGTTGATCATAATAGTTGTAT